CTCACTCCATCATACACACACTGACTGACTCATTCACTCACCCATACACCCACTGACTGACTCACTCACTCACCCATACACCCACTGACTGACTCACTCACTCACCCATACACCCACTGACTGACTCATTCACTCACCTGTACACCCACTGTTTGACTGACTCACTCACCCATACACCCACTGACTCACTCACTCACCCATATACCCACTGACTCACTCACCCATACACCCACTGACTCACTTACTCACCCATATACCCACTGACTCACTTACCCATACACCCATTGACTCACTGACTTACCCATACACCCACTGACTGACCCACTCACTCACCCATTCACCCACTCACTCACTAACTCACTGACTGCCTGACTTACTCACTCACTCAACCCACTCACTCACTCACTCACTCACTCAACCCACTCACTCACTCACTCACTCAACCATTTAACCACCCACCGACCCACCCACTCACCCTCCTATCCACCCACCCGCTCACCCACCCGGACAATAAGTTAGACAGCTTCATCAACTATTAATTAATGATGGAAGGTTACATGTTCAAGTTGCTATGTTTCTTATCTTCAGGAGTTTCTGTTCATAGTGACCATCTAAGTGAAAACTATGCCAAAATTAATTTACGGAAAATTGTAATCTTGAAATCAAACAGAATGTCAACACAGAAAAACACATGAAATTAACACATGTCGATTTCATCATAACCAATCGACTGATGTACCTTTCCATATGGCGTCGTTATGGAGATAAGGATATCACCAAGGTCACGGTGAGATGTCGGATTATGGCAACGCTTTCTGATTGTGGACATTGCCAACTGCTGTAGCTGTGCTATTGACATGATATCAACATGAGATCCATGAATAGTCATTGAGCAGTCTCGTGCATGCTGGGTTGAAAATGTTTTTACTGATTATTGCTGAACTTGGATATTGACAGTAAGGAACTAGCAAGCTCTAAGGTATGTATTGCAGGTAGCTGTTTCTGTCTGTCATTCAAAATGTCAAAACCAAAGAATCATCAGTCTCAATTTTCTGCCAAAGAAGATTCCACTGGTGTAAAATCAAAATATTGCTGAACTGATAGCATGGATTATTCTACAAGTCCATATGATGGTCATCTGGGGTAGCCTACTGGTTTATGTGTTCTCTTGTTTTGCCAAAGACCTGGGTTCATTTTCCCACATGGATACAGTATGTGAAGCCCATTTCTGGTGTCCCCTGCAGTGATATTCAGGGGTGGAAATAACCCATTGCCCTACGTCCGAGTCCAGTGTTTTTTTCTGTTGGGCAAGCAAATTTGTATATCACGGTGTCCAGTTGACTTTCCAATGTTAATTATGTTGTTTATTTAAAAAATCAACAAGAAAACGGATGGTATAGTGGAAAACTTATCAGGGCAAGTGATTTTACATGTGCCACTGTACCGGAGTACACTAGCAATTTTAAAGTTATTTCCACCCCTGATATTGCTGGAATATGGCTAAAAGCAGCATAAAACTAAACACACTCACTCACTCACTCACAGATACTCTACATCTGGTTAATGAAGCTTTGACTTTGATGACTGTATTCACGAAGAAAGAATAATACAACAGGATTATATGTTAACATGCATTTGTATCACAACTGGCATAATTTGTAAGCAGGTTAATATATATTTGCTGTGTTGTGCTGTTTACAGACAACCAGGAAGAATTTGTGTTATACAGTAAACTATGTTTATAACAAGCATGTTTATAACAAACTGAATGATATAACAAACGGATTTTCTGGACCCAGCAACTTACTGTATATTTTAGTCGAAATGCATATGACCAACTACAGTTCTAATGAGCTTGAATTACTTGTCCGTTTGAGTTCATTATAACAGTAGTTTAATGAACATTTTATTGTTTTATATTTTTTTTGCATCTTACTCCGATGAGAGACAATATGGTGTCTTGCCCAATCATGTGACTGCATTGCCTAGCAACATTAACTAATAATCACTCACTCTCAGAATTTGTACCATAGTAGAAAGAGGCTGATAGTTTCTATCATATTTTTCAAATAATACTGAAAAAAGAACCAATACACTTGAAAACTGAATTTGACTACAATTAGTACCAATGTTTTCAATACCTGTGAAGATCCGGATTTGAATTGGTCTTCAGAAACCCATGCTTAATGTAAGAGGCAACTAACAGGATCGGATGGTCTGAGACTCACTGTCTCCGTTGACACATCGTATCCCAATTGCATAGATCGATGCTCATGCTGTTGGTCACTGGATTGTCTGGTTCAGACTCTATTATTTACAGACCGCCACCATATAGCTGGAATATTGCTGAGTGAAGCGTTAAAAACAAAGACTATGTTATTATTTGAGGTAGTTGGAAGTTAGGAAATCAGCCCCTAAGGTTACAGTAACCCCCTCAGTTGGTTTGATGTCAACTCACACCACACCAAGTTAGTGCAGTTGAGGTGAAATTAATCACATCTGTCAATCGTCCATGACATGGTCAACAAGTCGCAATATACAACCCTAATAACGGCCACATTTGTTTGAACTTCAGATTGATTCAAGCTGGTTCAGCAATGAATAAAAGACAATTCTAGAATAAGACGTGGAGGTTATAAATATTTTCACAGCTTTCCAAACTACAGGTCTTATGTTTGTGGAAGGTTTAGTGTATGGTTTAAGTGACGTCGTGCTGGAAACCAGCTGGGGTCAGGTGGAGGGTATTGGCAGCTAAAGCAGTCTCAAGATCTGGTGTTAATTTTGCAGAGTTCTGTCTCTTGATTGTTTGCTAGAAACCTAAGAATATGGTTCAGTTACAGGTTCAATCTGATTGAGTTTTGGGCAGATTTGACTAAGAGGGTTCGACTATGTTAACGTGAAATGCATTTTGTCTCCTACCATATTGACATGAAATTCCATGAAATAGAATACATTTGTCTGAGGTTATACATATTTTTTGGCTGCAGGTTTAGACAGCTTCATTAACTATTGATTAAGGATGGAAGGTTCATGTTCAAGTTGCTATGTTTCTTATCTTCAGGAGTTTGTGTTCAGATATAGGTTCAATCTGATTCTGATTTCAGCATGGTTTTACCTTGACTTACAAAGTTGTTGGTTTCAGGGACCCCCAATATTTGACTGAATGGTTCATGCAGGTAATTTGGGGGCCCTATAAAGGGATGAAATTGTGAAGTCCACTATGCTGTAAGGCGGGATAGTATATTTCATTATGAGACCTATATATTGGTCAGGAAATTGGTTCCATGAATATTGCTGTGTGACTCTCTAGCTGTGATATTATTTTCTATGTTTTCATTCTGTATATTTGTGTGTACTGGACACACGTTTTGGAATCATTTTTAACCCATGTAAATTTTTACCTTATCATAATGGTGAACTGTGATATTATCATGATGGTGAACTGTGATACTATTGGGGAGGTGAACTATGATATTACTGGGGAGGTGAACTGTAATATTATCATGATGGTGATCTGTGATATTACTGGCAAGGTGAACTGTAATATTATCATGATGGTGAACTGTGATATTACTGGCAAGGTGAACTGTAATATTATCTTGATGGTGAACTCTGATATTACTGGAAAGGTGAACTGTAATATTATCATGATGGTGATCTGTGATATTACTGGCAAGGTGAACTGTAATATTATCATGATGGTGAACTGTGATATTACTGGCAAGGTGAACTGTAATATTATCATGATGGTGAACTCTGATATTACTGGGGAGGTGAACTGTAATATTATCATGATGGTGAACTGTGATATTACTGGCAAGGTGAACTGTAATATTATCATGATGGTGAACTGTGATATTACTGGGAGGTGAACTGTAATATTATCATGATGGTGAACTCTGATATTACTGGGGAGGTGAACTGTAATATTATCATGATGGTGAACTGTGATATTACTGGGGAGGTGAACTGTAATATTATCATGATGGTGATCTGTAATATTATCTTGATGGTGAACTCTGATATTACTGGGGAGGTGAAGTGTCATATTATCATGATTGTGCACTTGAGCTAAGTGTTTATGAGCAGTATATACAAGTGTACTCTGAATGAACGAAGGGGCAGTATTTGCTCTATGTCCATGTATTACTGTTGTACTGTACAAATATACCTAGTTCAAGCGATCACTAAAGAAAACAGTTATTTACACAGGAGTATGGCAAATATATATCTGTTATTGAGAGACTAGTTTGTGAGGGTGTACGTCCCCTGAAGGTTACGGTATTGTTGTTAAAGCACAAAGAGATCCAGTGTTTGTGTTAAACATCAAACATTTATTACCTTTGGCTCCTAATATGACAGTGAATAGAATGTTATAAAACTTTTATGAGAAATATCATTTTACACGACGGTTTGAACTCAAAGTGTTGGCACTGATCCAGGGTGACCATGTACAACCATCATTAACGGTGGTGTCATTGAAGTATAAAACTGTCACTCCTTGAAGCAGCAGTACACTTCAGAAGGTCCGTTCTGGATGAAATTGCTTTCACAAAGAACATGACATTTAGCATTTTCAGTTAAATGTAAAACCTGTCGGGGCAGCACTGAATACATTCAAACCCTACATGTCTTTCAGCATCTTTCAGTGTGTTTCAGCATAGTCATGTATTCTTCGAACTAGCTTGGGTCATTGGTGTTTTTCACAGTTTGTTGTAAGTTTGATTGTGTCCTTGTACGTTTCAGTGATTTCTTGTACATTTCATTGTATTGTTATGCATTTTAGTGTATTGATGTATATTTTGATGTATTGTTTTATATTTCAGTGTGTTGCACATTACAACATTGGGTTGTATATTTCAGTGCATTGTGGTACATTACAGTTTATTGTACAGTTCAGCGTTGGCTTGTACATTTCAGCATTGTGTTGTACATTTCAGTGTTGTGTTGCACATTTCAGTTTATTGTTGTACATTTCAGCATTGTGTTGTTCATTTCAGAACTGACGCTGACAATCACCAGGCTGACAGCAAGGTACCGGATCTTCCCTCCTCCAGCAAGAACGACAAACTTCGGGAACAGAGGGCAGATCGAGCCCGGCGCCAGCAGATCGAGGCAGAGTTCCTCCGTTCTGATCTCAATGTAAGTCCTCATGCTTGTCAGAGTCACTTATACAACAATATCTCTTTCAGGTGTATACTAATGACCAGTCAGCAGATCCTGTTGACCGATCTGTTAGAAAGCACCTTGCTAAGTCCTGTCAACCGACTGAGCTTGTATGATGGTAGTATTAATTATGCAATACATTTTTAAGAAGGCTCCAAGGACATATGGAATTTTCTTTTCTTTTTCCTTTTTATTGTCTATAGACCTCCCCCAACCAGCAAAATACCATTCCAGACACCTGTTTTAATTTACCCGTGAAGATCTGGGTTAGAATTGGTCTTCAGTAACCCAGGCTTGTCGTAAGAGGTGACTAATGGGATCGTGTGGTCAGACTCGCTGACGTGGTTGACACACGTCATCATATCCCAACTGCGTAGATTGATGCTCATGCTGTTGATCACTGGATTGCCTGGTCCAGACTTGGTTTCAAGGAGATATAGACCCTTCCTTTGTCAAACATCTCATTAACCTTGGTATTTTATACCTAAGCCCAAACCATTCTCGTTCTCAATTCTATCCATTCTACAGTGATTCTGTGATCAATTCTTTACAAGCTGCTTTATAAGTGTGTGAGTTTAGTTTTACGCCGCTTTTAGCAATATTCCGGCAATATCACGGCTGGGGACACCAGAAATGGGCTTCACACATTGTAGACATATGGGGAATTGAACCCAGGCCTTCAGTGTGACGAGAGAACGCTTTAACCACTCAAGCTACCCATCCACCCCTCTTCTGTGTAAGGGGCGGTTGGGTAGTCTAGTGGTGAAAGCGTTGGCTCGTCATGCCGAAGACCGGGTTCGAATCCCCACATGGGTACAACATGTGAAGCCCATTTCTGGTGTCCCCGCCGTGATGTTGCTGGAATATTGCTAAAAGCCGGCGAAAGCCAAACTCAGTCAGTCAGTCTACTGTGTCAGAGCTGTCATATAACGGAGTATGGCATTAAACAACACGTATAAAGCTAAATCACCCAGCCCAAATTGAAAATAAGAATGTATCAGTTCTACACAGCACACTTACCTTTTCATTCCCTAACTTCTGTTCATGGAATTCTTAAACTGTAATTTTGAGAAACAAATGAAAATTTCTGTTGACTGAAAATCATATTATACAATCTCTAGGTCAAGCCAACATGTTTAGTGAGCTCTAAATGAGTATCTGCATTCACAAGTCTTTAAATCATTGAATCAATGACTCCTGTTATACTGCATTGATTAGTTTAATTCCACGGAGAAAACATCAGTCTGTAAACATACCAGACAGGTTTCAGGCTTGTGATGCTCTTCAGTCTGTTGACAGGATCTAGTGGTTGTAATGACAGATAGGGAGGTTTGTGGTGGTTTAGAAGATTGCAGTTGTCACAATATTTCAGTACCAAAACACAACCTTTATTCTAGTCAACTGCATGTAGTTTGGCAAATGCATAAGATATGCATTATAATTGATTCTGTAGAAATATGCATGCTCTGAAAAGCGAAATTGATCAGTCACAGATTGCATGTTACTGACAGGCGTTGCTTGGTATTCTGATTGATTCTTGCATGAAATTTACATAATATCAGTAATTTGCAATTAATTACAGTATATGACTGTAGATAAGGCAATTTTGAGGACCAGAAGTGATCTGGAAAGGGATTGTCTAAATAGAGGTTACACTTTCATGAAACTGCTTTTATATTTTTCAAAGTAAGTAATTAAGTATGATTATTATACAAGTATGTGCTTTGTGGGAAACTGAATTGTAATGCTTCAGATGCTGAAGATAGGATACATTTTGTCAATGAAAATGTAAAATGGGATCAAACATCCCCAGATATGATGATTTACCATTTTTGTTCTGCCAGGAATTATATTTTATATTTAGGGCTTGAGATATATTTTTCTCTCAGTTCATGTTATTCAATACAGATTTACTGATATTCTATTTCTGATGAGAACCATGAAGATTCGGTTTAAAATTGGTCTTCAGCAATCCATGCTTGTCATGATGATCGGGTGATCACTGGACTGGCTGACATGTCATATTGATTGATTCGATCACTGGACCATTATTTACAGACCACTGCCATATAGTTTGAATATTGCTGAGTGCAGTGTTAAACAACAAGATTCAATCGACAAACTATTTCAGATGATGGATAACACTGGGAAGATTTGCAGGCTGGTGGTTCAACTTATGAACCAAAAATCTGATTTTATCTCTATTATCAAGTTAAAACTTAAGCTTAAATATCTGATTGGCTTATCAACAGTCATATACGGTACAAGGAGTTTACAATTTGTTTTCCACAGTTTTTTTGCAAATTATGCAAAGGTGATGTTTGGAAATGATTCAAGGTTTATTTACGAGTGGCAATGGATGATATTTCTTGTTGATTTCAAGCCGACATGTTCCCACACAGGGGTGATTGACAGCACTGATGTTTATTTCAATGCATGTGCATGTGTTTGCATGTGTAGGAGCTGTTGATGCAGGAAATGCGCGATCATCGCAAGGAGTTTGACTTCGATGCAGACAGCATGAGTGACGATGCTCTCTCTAAGGTACAACAGTGTTGTATGGTGCTTGCTTCATGTGTTGGTGGTGGCAGGGCATTGCTCTTAATAAAACCTTTTTTCTCATCTTTATAGTGTAGTCTCTTCAAATATGTTCCTTTCTGCTTGTGTAACATGTTCATATGTCAATGTTCATGATAGTTAGTCTACCTTTACTACATATACTACACTGTTTTTGCTGTATTTGTCTGTGCTGTAATCTCAAGTTTGTTTTATGATGTAACCATGTCTAAATATGTACATTCCTCTTCTTCTGACATTGTCATCTAAAAGCTGAGCAATTATTTCTTTGACCCTATACAGTGTATGAAATAAGGCCCGTTCGACCACCCGAGATGGGCTAGATTTCTAATGGATGGTCTAAATTTACAGCTAGCCAGCCTGATGGTCTGGTACGTTTTATTAGATATTCCATACATCTGAGTAAATTCACCATATCTTGGTGTCTGGTCTGGTTAAATCCATTTTGGGCTTGTAACATTTTGAAGTTACCAGCCCTGATGTCTGGCTGGGTTTTTGGCTTATTTCATACACTGCCCTATAGTAGGATACTGTTTTTGTAGTGAAGTAATTCAAAATGGAAGTGCTCCATCTTCTGTCGCCAGGATGCTGTATCTCCTAGACCCTACAGGGTATAATTCAGACAAACATGTATCGTATTTGTTTTTTACCCATCTTAACATTTCATTTTGACTTTTGAAAGGTGTGTAGATACTTTGTACAAAGGTGCAAAAACATCAGGTGAGCAGCAGAACCTCATTGCTGTTTTGAACTCACTGTTTAGAGAGTTCTTAGCGAAGTGCAGTTTTAACCAAAAAAACAAACAGATTTAATGACAAAGTCAAAAACCTGTATATTGTTAAAGTTGTAACCTTCTGCTATAACTTAGTGTAACACAGATGAAGTAACAAAAATGTGCTTTGATAAGACTGTTGTTGTAACAGTGCTTTGATGTTGGTGTCAGTCAGGGGAAGCTATTCTGTCCTATTCTATTCTGTATAAAACCTGATGTTTTGAAGGTAAAACAGGTGTGCTGTGTGTCCACTTTTAGGGAGGCCATATGTCTGTCTGTATGTCTTTATGTCTATTTACATGTATGTATATGTATGTGTATATGGTATCTGATGTTTAATCTTGTTGATACAATCATTACACCTTTTCTTGTTTAGCATTTGTATGTTTAATTGCCTATGACTGCCTATCACGAGTATACTCGTAGTATCAATTCTGGCCGAATTTGCCACTACGAGTTATCTCATAGCTACATCAGTGGTATTTTAAACCAAGTTTCACATGTTGGCAAAATAGGCACAAGAAACATCCGTCTCCTGGCATTCTTTGTTACTTGTGCCTGTGTCAGTCAACATGTTAATTCCTCATGGTGGTCATATATAGGTCCACATTATGTTGCATATTCACTGAGTACTGCTCTGATTAAAGACCAGTATGAGGTTAGCTATATTGTGACACATTATCATATCATCACATCATGAGATGGTGTTTCTGTACAATTTATTTGAGGTGATGTGTTCATTTCTCCTCGCCAGACATCAAACAGCGTGTCAGATCTGTCTGACATGGATCTTCTCAAAGACTCATACGACAATGTAATAGACGTTGTTTATGTGACATTTGTGTCAATTATACACCATTCCAGTGTCACCGTCTCCCACACTTTCTTCAAACCGTTCCAAACTATGATGCTTTCTACGATTTTTACAGCTTCAAACTCACTTTCACATACCAACCTATGATAATTATGAACGTTGTGATGACACAAGGTATATTTTGAGCTTTGTGTTTCACACAAGGTTCATCAATAGATATTTTGGTGACACAATGTGTTTATTTGCAAAACAATGTTGTAAATATCCCTGCCAATACCAAAGACAACACCTAGCAACCTTGTGTGATCCACATAGCTGGAAAAGACTAGTTCTTGCAGCACCGCGGCCCATCGTCTCACTCGCTGAACCAGTGCTATTGATTTGTTTATTGATTGACAGGTGGATAGGGATGTCAATTATAGTTTCATGATGTTGTTCGTTTTGTCAGTGTCGTCAACGTTCACTGTGAAGTGGTCACGGCAACGGTGTATACATATATATATATATCAGCAATAATATTGGTATATATCATCACACTGTCAATAAAACACTTACTACCTTCAAGCAGCAATATAACAGCACAGAGTTAGTGAAACCTTTCGCCAGTGTACATGTATACTCAAAGGCAAAAGTAACTGATCATATAATTCTTAGGCCAAAACAAATATATGTGTGTTTAGGGTATATGGAATTATAAAACAGGGTCGGTAGGTAGGGTTGATTTTTTTTTTCTTACTTTTTTTTTTAAATGCACTCACATATTTTTCATAAAATCACATATTTATGTGATATCAGGCACCAATTTTGAAAGAAAAGCGGGGAGACCAGTTAAAATTGTTTATAACTGAAGCGTCAACACTTTCTAAATTCAACATTTATGAAAAACAAGAGTAAGTGAGCACAGGTCACATATGGTCGCGCCCAACATTGGGGAGTACATACTGTTGGAATAGCAAAATGTTTCCCTGCTCTTAAAAAAACAAAAAAAACATTAGGGTTGGGAATTTATTGATGGGGTCGGTCGGGAAACCGTAAACACACATATTTGTTTTTGGCCTTATATATTTTTGTATACTGATTAACATTGATATGGCTTTACAGATAGCGCAGTCATTTATGTATTTGAATGACAACTAGTTTTAAAGATGGACTAAGTCAGTGCTATTCCGTTTAGCTGAGAAAAGTGCCCCATCTCAAATTTTCTATCCTTTTTAAACTGACGTACATCTATTATGAGTGAAAAGAATCAGACATTTCACTGTAAATTATAGAAAGAATATAAGCTGCATGGCACAATGTTATTGTATAAATTGAGAACTCTGTAGAAAGTGTTTGGTTTGTTTACAACAAAATTAAACTCTGGTACACATTTGGAGTTTTTAAATACATCTATGATGAATACAGTTATTTTTGCCTTTCAGTATACTTTTATACTTATACTTCATATTTGACTGTAAACATTTCTTTGCAATTTTACAAGTGGGTTATACACACAAATATAGTCCCATAAAATCGTCTTAGTCTTTCAATTAATTTATTTTCAATAAATGATTAAAATATTTTGTACATAATTAAACGTAAGATAAAATAAAAGATTAAACATATGTGAAGATGTGAAACTATAGATTTTGTGAGATCAGAGTGATTTGTCATGTAGATAACCTAACACTCACCTAGAGTTGTCTCCCTTGCAGAACCGCGTGCGGATGAGTTCATGGCTGACTGGCCGTCTAGCTCTGTCTCAGCAATCCAGCCGATTCACCCTGCCAATGGACATGAAGGTGCTCGAGAGTAAGTGACCGCCATCCTGCACAGTTACTTTTTTCTGTTAGTATATGACAATTACAGGAACTTTTATCAGGATTCATGTTGGGGAATGGTAAACTACTGTTGGTAGATGCTAAACAGGGCACCAATTGTGGATTGGAAACACACTGTCAGTGGTAGATGGTAAAAATGGTGCTTAATGTAGATGGTTAATATGGTGCTTAATGTAGATGGTAAAAATGGTGCTTAATGTGGATGGTAAATATGGCACCAAAGGTGAACTGTAGACATGTTCCTAAGAGTGGATATGGCACCAAATAATAAATGGTAAACATAGTGCTGATTGAAGATGGTAAACATAGCACCAATGATAGATGGTAAAAATGGTGCCAATGGTAGATGGGAAACATGGTGCTCAAGGTTGATGGTACATCTAGTGCCAGTGGTGGATGGTAAACATTGCACCAGTTGAAGTTGGTAAACACAGTGCCAGTGTTAGCCTACAGTGTTAGTCAACCTGACAGTGTTGTTTCTGTTTTTCCCAGAGATGACCCCACAGGACTATCTGCGGACCTACTGTGTCGTATCCTCCAGGCGCCATATACTTTACCAGAAAATACACTCCAAGAACAGAGACAAGACAGGTGTCATCCCCTTCAAGGTGAGTGACTATTGTGTGCCCTGGTTGATAAATAGAATGATATATCACCAATACTCTGTGCTTGACCTCTGTATGTTGACTGTATAATTGTAGTGTTTCGGTCGTGTTTGATGAAGGTACTAGAAGCTCTACCAAAACATCCTATTGAAAGGAAAGGGAAGTCATAATTGATTGGTTTTATTGATGCTGCAGCTCCTAAAATGTCATTTGAGAAACTACAGGACATATACAATTTTTCTCTGTGTTGTGCAGGACATATACACTGTTTCTCTGTGTTGTGCAGGACATATACACTGTTTCTCTGTGTTGTGCAGGACATATACACTGTGTCTCTGTGTTGTGCAGGACATATACAATGTTTCTCTGTGTTGTGCAGGACATATACACTGTGTCTCTGTGTTGTGCAGGACATATACACTGTTTCTCTGTGTTGTGTAGGACTAGGGTAGCCCAGTGGTTAAAGTGTTTGCTCATCATGCTGAAGACCCGGATTTGATTCCCCATATGGGTACAATATGCGAAGCCCATTTCTAGTGTCCCCCACTGTGATATTGCTGGAATATTGCTAAAAGTGGGTTAAAACTAAATTCACTCAATGTTTGTTCCTCATGTGTATACAATGTTTCCCTGTGTTGTGCAGGACATATACAATGTTTCCCTGTGTTGTGCAGGACATATACAATGTTCCCTGTGTTGTGCAGGACATATACACTGTTTCCCTGTGTTGTGCAGGACATATACAATGTTTCCCTGTGTTGTGCAGGACATATACAATGTTCCCTGTGTTGTGCAGGACATATACACTGTTTCCCTGTGTTGTGCAGGACATATACAATGTTTCCCTGTGTTGTGCAGGACATATAGACATATACACTGTTTCCTTGTGTTGTGCAGAACACATATACACTGTTTCCATGTATTGTGCAGGACATAGAGAAAGCCCTGAAGGATGTCCTGGTGAACACTATCAGCAAGGAGGAGGTTACCGATGTGTGTCAGCTGCTTGAGATTGATGAGGAGACAAACATCGACTACCAGCTGTTCTGTGGAGTTGCAGCCTTCGCTGAGAGGATTCTGTATCCCAAGTTTGTGTGAGTAATCTCCATGTTTAATCATCCATAGCACTTGATACAACTGGCCAATCTGGTTGGATATCATTATGTATAAGACTGTTTGACAAATCACTGTTGCGGTTTCCGTTCTTGTGATCACAAAACCTTTATGTTGACATTCTGTAGATTAACTCCAACAAGTATAACATTTAACAACCAATTCTAAAACTCAATCCATGAAGATGAGTGTTAGAATTGGTCTTCAGTGACCCGTGCTTGTCTTAAGAGGCAATTAAAGGGATTGGGTCACAGGTTTTGCGTACTGTTAATCACTGGATTGTCTGGTCCAGACTTGATTATTCACAGACTGCCATCATACAGCTGGAATATTGCTGAGTGTGGCTTTAAAACAACAAACAAACAAACTCAAAGTATGGCATTTTGTATATATGCATCTATCTCAAAGCATCTGGGCTTAATGTTGGAAGAAGCATGAGGTGATGCAGGTCTCATACGTTTACCACTGTTGGTACCAACCAACCCAGAAACATAATCGTGATGAACTGGGATTCGGACCAATGATCATGGAATTATGCCACCCAGCAATTGTCCAGGGCCCTGTTTCACAAAGCCCTCTTAAGCCTAACATGTCCGAACTTTTCTCGTAGCATTTGTACCTCCTATACTGTAACATTGACTTACGATAGTCGTAGCGCTACGAGGGCTTTGTGAAACGGGCCCCTGAGTGGCAATTGTCTGGGTGGCAATTGTCCTAGGTGGCAACTGTCATAGACCCTGGCATTCCCAGGGGGGATACATGTGGACTCTGAGCCAACAAGAATTGGGAAGGATAACAAGAAGTACCATATGAAAATGTGTGTTGGCATGACGATGACCTGGTTCAAGACACTGACCTTCTGGACTGACACTTAACCCACTAGATCGCTAAGATGGCAAAAGTGGTCAAATATACGTTTATATAAAAATTGTAACAATAAATAATTATAAAATAAAACAGAAGGCAGGGCAACAACAAGTACCATCATTTAATATCTTTTGATGTGTGTGGATCAAACCACCAACTTTCTGCTCTCAGACAGACACTCTGTACGCTACATCATGGAAGCAGCTTGAACTGAATGATTGAAGGCCAGCAGGCAAGTCAACAACAAGCACCATCCTTTAATGCCAGTTGGTATAACATGGATGGTCATCTGTTGGCTGGACATCATCACTAAGTCAGCTGACAGATTTTTTTTTTCATTTAATAAAAAGGCAAAGAAAAAATCCTAGAATTTCAAACAATCTCTCCTTGTTTTGTTCCAGGACTGAGGACACAGCCGAGCTACCAGAGTTCCAGAGAGAAAAGATTGAGTGTGCAGACTTCTGTGCATTGGATTGGAAGTTTCATGGAGTCAATGTGAATCCGCCTGTGAAGAAAATGTTGAAGTCGCTTGGATGACCTTGAAATTTATAGGTGACCTTGACCTTCATACTACAGCAATTATGATAATGAAATGATGAGTTTGAGCAAGGACAGAAATATTGTATAAATGTCTACAGCTACACAAATGTGACGCTATTCAACAAGTTCAGGGGAAATGTTGGTGTTGGAATTGCAATACTTCCATGTCCGAAAATGGAGATTGGAGAATTGTGACAACCTCAGGTTGGAAGCTGATCTCTCTATGTCCTGTGCTTGTTATCCACGCATATATATTATCATGTGATATATTTATTTATTTATTTAACACACCAGTTTGGTGTTGTCTGTGATAATGGCAAGTCACTGGTCTCATCAACTGTCTGACTGGTTGTTTGTGAAATGTGTTGTCTGGGTTGTCTCCCTTGTATTGTCTGGGTTGTCTCCCTTGTATTGTCTGGTGCAATTGGACACAGACTTGGATGGGCATATGAAGACACCTCAAGAGACTTGCGATGACCTTCAATATGTGCTAAAAGAATCAGGATGAGATTTCAAAGTTTTGCTTTATTATTGTTCTGTTTGATATTTGTGGGAAAATCACCAAGCACGACATATTTGACTATCTCAAGAGTATTGGTATGAGGCTGTGACTAGGAATTTAAGTAAACGCACCGTGAAAATGACATAAAGATGACCACAGTATTGCCCACAGTAATGACACAACAACAATGACACAATGATGATGACAATGGAAATGACACAATGACACTACAACAATAACACAATGACACAATCGAGTTGACAATGACAATAATGACAACATGATGGTAATGCTATGGATTACACACTGGCAACTTTAGACACAATGTTGATGACATGATCAAGATGACCCAGTGATGATCCACTGAAGGCTAAACAACAATGTTCTCATTTTGAGACACATTAACTAGATAATTCCTATAAACAAGGATTAGATGCTTACTGTACTTGATCAAGTCTCATAATTTGACAAAGACAAACCTACAGCATATGTTACTGAAAGCGGATCCTTGATACATTGCGAAAACTGCAGTGGCTGAGTGGGTTAGATGGCTCACTCTTTGTTTTGGCGATAAGGTGCCTGGCTCAGAGTGTGGGTTCAAATTCCAGATTGGACTCAAGGCAACAAAAGTACTAGAATCTGTACTTTACTGAGAAAGTATAATCCCAAATACATGTATTACATAATCTATGGTTCTATTCCTTCAGTGATTTGTTAACTAGACAAATGTGAATCCAAAATGGTACATTCATTCAATTGTTCATATGGACAGCTGTCATCATCATCATCATCATCCAGATGTGCAAGAATCATGCTTCATAGATAAACTCATTGAACAGCAACGACTGTCTTTTGTTGTGTATTTTTGTGGGTACAGTTTATATACTACTCTAAAGTAGATACATCAGTCAGATATATATGGCATATGTCAATCATATAGATCAGCAGGGTGAGTGGGTACCTATGTGGGGAATCGAAACCAGGTCTTCAACGTGATGAGTGAAAGCTTTAACCACTAGGGAACCCCACCGCCCCTCACATGCTTTACAAACTAAAGATCACCATTACTAACATTGCAGGTTAAACTTGAAGTTCTCCATACTTCTCTCAGCAAATTTTAAATATTAACGTGCCTCTTGAGTCAAACACTTAACTATTACTGAAGTTGCAACAGCATCTACTACACACATATACCATACCTCGCATGAATCACAGGCAGCGAAACCAATCAGCTGCTCAGAACTTCTGTATCAATTGATCGGTGAAGATCCGGGTTAGAATTGATCTTCAGAAACAAATGCTTCCTGTAAGTGACGACTACTGAGATCGGGTGGTTAGACTCGCTGATTTGGCTGACACATTTCATCGGTTCCTATTTGTGTAGATCGATGCTCATGTCGTTGATCACTGGATTGTCTAGTCAAGACTCGATTATTTACAGACCGCCGCCATATAACTGGAATATTGCTGAGTGCGGCGTAAAACTAAACTCACTCACAGTATCAATCACTAGACTTTGCTCCAGATAGTGCACAGGCAACTGCTATTTGTTGCAAACGACAATGAAGATAGAGACTGCATAAAATAGTTTGGTGTCAGGTAAGCTGTCGAGTGAGTGAGTTTGGTTTCATCATATTTTTAGCACATGCTATTGTTTATCCATGAAGTGGAAATGGATTGGACTTAAAGACATATCCTAATGGTGTTTCCCAAGTTCCTTAAAACATAGTTACTTATCCTACAAAAGTTATATCATTTCAAATAACAACCTGTAATGTTTGTCTGCGACAACTATCATGGTGAAATGCTTTGCATCCAATACCATAGTAGAAACAGAAGAGAAACGAATGAAAACGGTTCCACACAACACTGAATTTGGCACCTACAAAATCTGAGGCGTGTAACTAACACCAATCACCTGTCTATAGTGGGTTGGGTTGGACAGGTCAGGTACAGACAACGTTACAGGCCGTACTATCCCTGACAAAGAGCCATGTAACTAACACTCTTCACCTGTCTATAGTGGGCTGGGTTGGACAAGTCAGGTACAGACAACGTTGTGGAGAAGTATTTGGATCTCTGTAGAGAGTTATCTCCCCTGGAACTTGTTCTGGAGGCTGTTCCTCACAGGGCTGACATACCGACCTTGAGTCTGTAACAACATACATCCGGCACAATGTGAAAAAATATATTTACAGAGATATTTACAGAATATATTGTGCATGAAATGTTTGGCAGAAATTCTGCAGTAAATGGATGCTGATTACTGTTACATAGTCCTACAACAGCTAGAACAATAATCATAATAATATTACAGTAATATAATATAATAATGCAGAAGGCATTAATGGAATGAACTAACAAATATTATTAAATGATAAACACCTCTATATAAGAAAATTAAGTAATTGAGAGAATTACCAGTTACCAAAATTATAATTAGGCTACCAACAAGAATTTTCTCAATTATTCTGATAAGGAAACTTGTTTTGGAATCCAAAGAAATCCTGGAAATATCTCAGACCACATATTTTGTTTTTGTCTGTTGTTTAACGCCGCACTCCGCATTATTCCAGCGGTCTATAAAGAATCCAGGACGCGAGCTCGGAGACGACCGAGAGCTGAATGGCCTTGCAGATCATGGCGTAGATCTCCTTATCCGGGCTGCTGTTGTTGCTGATGGTGCTTCCAAGGTACTTAAAGTCGTCCACCGTCTTCAACTGGGTACCCTCGATGGAGATGGACGGGGGAAGGGGTTGGTGGCGGGCGCTGGTTAGAACAGTACTTCTGTCTTGCCCAGGCTGATAGTGAGACCAAAGAGGCCGGATGCTTCTGAGAACATATTCACGATGAGCTGGAAGTCAAACTCCTTGTGTGCCATGACGGCACAGTCAGTTACACAACAAGTAACTTATACAAATATCTGTACAGGTAAATTGTAGATGTCTGATACAGGTAAACTACAAGCAACTGATACAATGATCTGAACAGGTAAATTGTAGATGTCTGATACAGTTAAACTACAAGCAACTGATACAATGATCTGAACAGGTAAATTATAGATGTCTGATACAGGTAAACTACAAGTAACTGATACAATGATCTGAACAGGTAAATTATAGATGTCTGATACAGGTAAACTACAAGTAACTGATACAATGATCTGAACAGGTAAATTATAGATGTCTGATACAGGTAAACTACAAGTAACTGATACAATGTAATGACAGAGCATATGTTTACGAATCACTAGATACCAGGTGTTGCCCAAATGATAGGCGTTTCCTGTCCCACCATATGGACAGGCTTGTGAATTGTTCGCCTAGAAACGATTAGGGAACGTATGGTACAAGTCTAAATAGGGAACTGCAAAGTCCGCCCAAGAGCGGAACACTTCGTCACTGATGCAAACACATTTAGAGAATGTCGGCATTGATGGCTACCTTACGTTTGTAGTATGTGTTGCAAGTATCATACCGTCACCCACTGCTGAGTGTTGGCAGATGAACCGACTGTCAGCTGGGACAGGAAAGAAGAAGGGCACATGGTTATAAAGAAGAGAATGCAACATCGAGCAACCGACTGGGAAATGGGTGTTCTCTTAAGAAAGAAGATCATGGAGACTAAAATGATACAAGGGAAATGTTTTGATTGAGGATATGTTGGGAATGGTCACTTTAACTGACCAGTTATCTTAACATACAGCATTTTGTAAGCTAAGCTGGACCGAACACTTATAGCAACTATGCGGAGGATATATAGAGAATCCCACCCGAGTGTCTTTTGATATGCAATATATCACCACGAGTTGATAAAGTAACAAATATCCGAGGCTTCCCAAGGATAATTTTACTTTTATCAACGAGTGTTGATATATTTGATATCAGAAGACACGAGGGTGAGATTCTATTTATCATCCAAAATCACTCTTCATTAGTTTTCAATGAAAAATGTACATCTCTGAACACAGTACTGCCATTAGATTTGCAGTGCAGCGATGTCATAGTATTGTGACGTCATCAAGTTCATGACGTCATAGCATTGTCAGGGCATTGTGCAAAATCTACTGTCAAAGCGATATCTCCTGTGGAACACAGTTTTGGATGATAAAGAAGAGAGGGCTTCGCTTTAAGCAAGGTCTCCCCCCACCCACCCACACACACTAAGATACTCATTCTATGTTGCTTTTCATGGAATACTATATATGTAACAAGTACATTTCATAAATTTGAGTTATGCCAATCGGATATATAAACATCGTCAGTATGAAAGGATAACAATTAATAAGCTTAACCAATGATAACAGCTTTGCTTAACTAAGTAGACACATTAATTATTCATCTGATCAAAGCAGATCAGATCGACCTTTAGATAACAAAAAGTTGTCATTCTAACCAGGAGACGGAACAATGCATTTCTGAAGGCTGGAGTTATAGCAGAGTCATTATGGCTAGAGTGCAGAGAATGTTTGGTGACTGGTTCCAAGACAACAATCAATATAGATTTTGATACAATGTTACCTCACGATACACCCTCAAGTCACTGTAGATATACCATACCAACAGGAAACTCCAGATTGTTCGTCAGTCAGGCACGACGCAAACCACATCCGAACGTCACTCTTTGGCGACCTGTGGAGGCTTTGACTACAGTGACAGCTCCAAGTCTTCATACACTGACATCTATGTCAAGCTTCAAGACAGCTCCAAGTCTTCATACACTGACATCTATGTCAAGCTTCAAGACAGCTCCAAGTCTTCATACATTGACATCTATGTCAAGCTTCAAGACAGCTCCAAGTCTTCATACACTGACATCTATGTCAAGCTCAAGACAGTCCAAGTCTTCATACATTGACATCTATGTCAAGCTTCAAGACAGCTCCAAGTCTTCATACATTGACATCTATGTCAAGCTTCAAGACAGCTTCAAGTCTTCATACACTGACATCTATGTCAAGCTTCAAGACAGCTCCAAGTCTTCATACATTGACATCTATGTCAAGCTTCAAGACAGCTCCAAGTCTTCATACATTGACATCTATGTCAAGCTTCAAGACAGCTCCAAGTCTTCATACATTGACATCTATGTCAAGCTTCAAGACAGCTCCAAGTCTTCATACATTGACATCTATGTCAAGCTTCAAGACGGCGACAAGGCGATTGTTTATTTCCCGATAACTACAGTGTTGACGGTAGGGGTCAAGGATGAAGACTATGTATACCCCACAGAATTGATTGGCGAGTCCCGAAAGTCGTTATTGTTTGATGGTTTTAATAAGGACATAGCACTCTCGCAACACTTCAAAATATCAGACTTCAAGCACTGAGAGAGAAGGTTCTTCAGACTCGATGCATCCCTCGTTGGCTGTCTAGAGCTGGTAGTAAATGATCTTGGACAAATGTCAGAGTTGTTCCAAAGTCTGCTTACAGGTGTGTGTGTGGTTAAACATGCATTATTATAGAATAAGATTTAATGATGAACATTGATTGGTAATCTTCTTCTGCTGAAATAAGGAGCAGCAGCTTGCATATTTTTATTAAACATTTCTCTGTTCCAGGAAAAATAGATGCGAAAAGATATGTGGACTATGTTACTTAATAAGAAATGAAGATATGCATTTCATGTATTTACAGTATGTGTATGTCCACAAATTTGTTTTGTCGTTGTAACACCAAGGTCATACTCCATCAACCTGTGTGGACCATAGACATTCCCAGGAAAAACTGAGATCTTAAGCAGGACAAGAAATGCATGTCAAGCCCATCGCAGGCCAGTCAACAGGGGACCTTGTAAATATTGGGCAGTCGTTTCTGAGAAGCTGTGTTCTCCAACGCACGTG